TAAAATGTAGTGTTCTGCCACCAGGTTCTATACCTACTTGCAGAAATAATAAATCTATCTATCTAAAATATCATCTCGACTCTAAATAAATCTGCCCTCAAACTTTCCGAAAGACGGTATTTCCTTAACGTTAATCGCTTTGCGGTGTTATTACATCCAGTCTCATTAGGTATTATTGAGTTGGATATGAAATCACTTTTATAAATATTTTTAACTTAAAAGGAGAAGTATCCAAGCAGTAGACTCATAAGCGTATTGTATAGTGCAATCACAATTCATTTTCACCACAAATTATTTAAAAGATGTTACTTACTTTTCCAATTTCGTAGGTACAAGAAGTTCATCTTCATTCAGTACAGTTGCTTTGATGTGAAGCTTTCCATCTTTTACAAAGCTGTTTTCCGGGTTATCAACATATGTAGCAAAATCTAAGTGCTGCGCACACAAACATATATTTCACAAATTTTATATTGGTAATTTCTTACGAATTATTCTTGCATACTCTTTTCATGAGCACAAAAAGTGTATCTTCTTTAAAATTTACTTTACCGTTCCATTTTAGATAATATAATTACAATTTAATGAGATATATTTCAAACAGTGAAAATAATGAAATATTATTTCTAAATACTACAATAATACATAAAAGATTTTGGTTTCGAATGATTTTTATTGTGGAATACAACGAAATTAAAAATTAAAATTCAATGTCAATAAAATATCGTTAACACACAAGTTTATTTATAGGCATTTTTTACAATCTCTTGCAGATTGAAGACCATACATTATTGTCAAGAGAACAAATATACTCACTGGATCATCGGAAAATTGTATTCTATGTTTCCAAAGTGATAGGTTTAACGAGTTGAAATTCTCATCCAATAACAACTGACCAGCACATGCAGTTCTTCCATTGTATGTGGTTACAGAAGGGCGGCAACTCGGTTCTACAAGTTCTGCAAATGATGACGTTAGGTATGAAAAATAATCTCAGAAATAAGCATTAAATGATGCAGCAACTAGTACCTATATTTTAAAAAATTAAAAAAATACCGTAAATCGCTTGATGTCCTTCTCGGCGTTCACCTTTGTCCCCCTTCGCTGTGTAAACCCAGTAGAACACAACGTCGCCGATTTTCAGTGTTATATCCTTTGTTTCTAGCATCCAAAACCCATCTCTTGCCTCCAGAACGCTTCCTGTCACTTGCCCAGTTTCTCTCTGGACGATGGGTACGTTGACGTTAGCGTTGATGATGACAACATCGGTGCCAGCGGAATCTACACGCACAGGGTTTGCTTAATGAAACTCGAGAACTTAAAATAAAAGAGTTCTAACAGCACTTTTATAGAAAAAATGAGTTATCGCCATGGTAGGATATATCAGAATTATTTCTATCGTCTGTATTATCTGATATGTCAATTTCGTTTTATCTTCGACATATGAACAGTTACCGAGTTCTAAATGCACATATTCGTTTTTTTATAAAATAATAATAGTAGTGAAAACAATAATCATAGTAACATCTTTCCAAGATATGACTATTGACTAATGCTTCTCCTCAAGAATTATTTAAGTCTGACAAATCTTTTTAAAATTATGAAATGACAAATTTTCATAATTAAATAATTAGAATTAAAAAATTAATAAAATAGTGTTTGTTAATGAAAAGTATTGCTTTCCTTAGGAATGTATTAGTTTGCCGGAGGCACCTTCTGTAAGTTTCATACTGTAACTGGCAATGGAAAAACACTTTATAATAGCAACACAGAGAAGTGTCTTGAAGATTCGGGATAAGAGTATTATCCCCGTAGTTCTGAAAGTAGAAGTGATATAGAAACACCTGAAAGTGCAATGTTTGTAGAAGGTAAGCACTAGTACTACATTTAGCATTACTGTTGTTTTATTTTGGGTGGAGTGAGACATGATGACTGCATGACATTGTGTCTTCAATTATGAATTTCCTTTTAAAATGTCGCTAAATGTGTTACAAGGTGGAGAAATATTAAATAAAATATTGTATCAATTTTTAGATTAGTACATCTTAATTATTCACAGTAAATTTGTAAAATTCAGTACAAAATTAAGCATGGAGATCAACCATTTATTTCTGCAAGTGTGCGATCAATTCAATTCTCCAGACGTTCATAATAAAATGGAAGTATTCAAATTTCTACAATAGTAATTATTTAGTAACACTTTCAAAAGACACAAATATTAGATTCCTGTATAAAGTCAATGTTGAAATGTATCACTGAAATAGATGATAATCATATTATAAAGCCACACTGCATTGCTAATTAAATGCAGTAACTACAATTAATTCTATATTTCAGCACTTTGTCTAAAACGATTGATTGAAAGGTCTCAGTGAAAATAAGTTTTCAATTTACAGTTATTATTTTGTAGCCCCTCTAGCTAATTGCAGGTACTTGGAGGACTTCTATTTTAAGGTCGCGAATTGTCTGAAGGCTAAACACTGGTGAAATATTGCACTGTAAACATAAAGGATCCCCAATGGGACTTATTTTGATTTGCATGGCCAGGAAAAAACAGTTTCAAATTGAGTAGGGTCTCTGAACATGCATGTAGCAGTACTAGCAGAAGATAATTATTTCAGTTTGGAAATCAGTATTATATTTTTAGGTAATTTGCAATTTGATTTACTTTCAATGTCATGATTAATAAGTAATATCTTATTCCTGTTGTGCCTATAAAATGTTTTTCAAGATTTCGTGTATATTTTTCATTTAGAATAGATATTCTCAGATTTGTGGATGACGTACTTCTAGAATCTTTGTTGAATAAATATTGCATTTTAGGTGATATGACTGTATTTTATACACCATCATCGAATACGTAACTCGTAAGAATATTCACAAAATGGTCACAACAAGCATCAAACAAAC